TAATTCCTTGGGGTTCCAGCAGACCAGTGAAATTGGGAAGTATTTAGGTATCCCTATTTCTGCTAAGAGACATTCCAAGGTTGATTGCCAATTCATTTTGGAGAAAATCCATTCGAAACTCACTGGCTGGAAAACCAAGTTCCTCTCTATGGCTGGTAGAGCCACTCTTATTTCTTCTGTATTAGCCTCTATTCCTAACTTCTATATGCAGACCATGTGGCTTCCTTCTTCTGTTCATAAGGAAATAGATAGAATTTCCAATAATTTTCTTTGGGGATCTACTGACCAGCAGCGCAAAATTCACTCTATAGGCTGGGATACTGTTTGCTTGCCTAAAAACAAAGGAGGGCTTGGTTTTCGTAGTGCGAGGAATGCCAACATAGTTGCCATGAGCAAGCTCAATTGGAGGCTCCATACAGAGAAAGACAAAGCTTGGAGGGAGGTCTTGGTCAGGAAATATAACATTAAAAACTTCTCCTTTGCACCCTCTCCGTCTGCCTCTCCTGTCATTAAGTGTATCTCTAAAGGCACTGAGTTGTTTAAGTCCGGAATCAAGTATATTCCTCGCAATGGCCATTCCATTTCCTTTTGGCTTGATCATTGGGTTGGTGTTGCTCCCTTAAGGTCTGTTTTATTTGGTCCTCTCATCGAAAATGCAGAGTCTATTCTTCTTTCTGATGCTCTTAGTAATGGTGCCATCAACATGGATGCTATTGGTTACACCTTGCCAAGTGATTTGGTCAGGGAGATCTTGGCTATTCCTCTATCGAATCTCCCTTCTGTTGCTGATGGGTTCTCTTGGCAAGGGAAAGCTAATGGTATTTTTTCTACTATCTCTGCATATAGAAACCTCATTCCTATATCTACCCAGCTGCCTTTGGATTGGAATTGGATCTGGACTACTCCTACACTCCCAAAAATCCAAATGTTTTTGTGGCAACTTGCCCATGGTAGGATTAAAACCTTGGAGTTCCTTCACCATATAGGGATTGTTGATGATCCTGTTTGCAAAATATGTAAAGGGCAGACTGAGTCCATTGAGCATATCTTTCGTAGCTGCCCCCTACTACTTCTACCCTCCACAAACTCTCCCCTCATCTTATTAACCATAATGACTCTGATTTCAATAGTTGGCTTCGCCATCACTCTCAAAATATGTCTCCTAGCCCTATCTTTAATATCCCATGGGCCATTATTTTTTGCTTTGCCATTTGGGTAATCTGGAATCAGAGAAATCTGGCTCTTTACAAACAGCATATCCTTGACCCTCAGAGGACCTTTTGTTTGATTGTGGAACGAGCTGCAGAATTTTGGTCTTCTAATCCCCTTCCTTCATCTAAAAGTACTAAGGCTACTAGATTCATTGGTTGGGACCCTCCTCCTCCAGGATGGCTCAAACTTAACACTGATGGTTCTGCTGTTGGTAATCCCAATAATGCTGGTTGTGGAGGCCTTTTCAGGGATTATCAAGGGCATTGGGTTATTGGTTTCACACGCAATATTGGCCCTACTACTGCACTTGCTGCAGAACTTTATGCCATTAGGGATGGTCTTAACATTGCTGTTTCTCATCACTTCCACTCTATTATTGTTGAAACTGATTGTCAGGTTGCTTATCTTCTTTTGAATGGTACTGTCAACAGGTTTCACCCTTACAGCACTCTTATTATGGATTGCAAGGCCCTTGTGCACATGATTCCCCAAGTCCAAGTGAAGAATGTGCTGAGAGAGGCTAACATGGCTGCTGATGCTCTTGCAAAAAAGGGGGTTCTTGCCCCCCATGGCTTAAGTGTTTTGTGTGTTTGTCCACCGGAGGTGGATCTCTTGTGTACTGCAGATCATGTAGGGGTTAGCTACCCCAGACTTTAAGTTTTTATCTATGTCTTATTTATCAAAAAAAAAAAAAAAAAAAAAATTATATTATAATTTATAATTAACAGTA